TGCAGAGTCGATGTCATGCCACCAATAACCAGCACCCTTCCTCTAGACCCCACTCCCCTTGTGCGGCAGTGCCTCGGGCTGGCAACCAAGTCTTTACCATACGGGCCTTCCAGAGACATTTGAGATCCAAACCAGATAATGGTTTCATCAGTGATTCACAAATCCCCAGTGTTTTAGTTAAGATTTAGATAAGGTATTCCATGGGGCATGGCAGGACAATCTTTTTTTTTTTTTTTTTTTGGTATTGGGGATTCAACTTGGGCACAAAACCATTGAGTCACATCCCCAGCCCTATTTTGTATTTTACTGAGAGCCAGGATCTCACTGACTTGCTTAGCACCTCACTTTTGCTGAGGCTGACTTTGAACTCGTGATTCTCCTGCCTCAGCCTCCTGAGCTGCTGGGATTACAGGGATTACCATCGCACGGGCACCATCGCTAGGGCACAATCAGTTTTTATGTGGTAGCTCGAGTGGGAACAAAACAGCAACACAGTATGAAAAGCAACTGGCCAGAGTGGCTGCAGGCAGTTCTCATAAGGGCTAATGCAGAGGGACTGCCTGAGCAGCAGCTAGGACTGGACTGTTGTGGGTGGTTGTTGGCTGTCTCCTGATTTCATTGAGGATCTGATAGACAATTGAGTTTCTGTTTGATGACATGAACTTTAGCATGCTTTGGTCTGTTAGAGCCTAATGTGAGAGCTTAGACCCCAACAATGATCTTCCATAAATTGTGTTTAACAGATAAAAGGCAGTCATTTTCTGCTTTCTGGTGGGAGAAAACAGATCAAAACAAGAAAACTACTGAGGCCACTTCTCCTTTATCAAAAAAGCTGACTTGAGAAAACAAAATCATCACTTAGAGTGGGAAAGCCCTCCAGGATCAAGATGGCTGAGCAGTGGCTAAGCCACAGGGTGTGTTAAATCTCCAAGGCGAGAAGTAGTGGAGGGTGTACCTGAGGTGCTGCTTAGCAATGAGCAGTCAAACACATAGCAAGGTCACAGGTTTCCTCAAAGTTCCTCTTACAGTGTCCTTTACGTTACTGCCAGAGCAGATGTGTAAATTACCTGTAGCAGACAACTTAAAATCATTGGTACACAGACTTTGAGAGTAAACAGTCAGAAGCAGAAGGAGCTAATTGGGAAAATATGTCAAAAGAGAAGGACCAATGGAACAGACTCTCGTCAGGGTCCACTGAGGTGTGTGATGCTGAGGTGTCTCCATGCCTGGGAAGGGAGGTCTCTTTATTTTATGTAAATTTTTAAAATTTATGTATGACAGCAGAATGCATTACAATTCTTATTACATATATAGAGCACAATTTTTTATATCTCTGGTTATATACATAGTATATTCACACCAATTCGTGTCTTCATACCTGTACTTTGGATAGTAGTGATCATCATATTCCACCATCATTAATTACCCCATGCCCCCTCCCTTCCCCTCCAACTCCTCTGACCTATCTAGAGTTTGTCTATTCCTCCCATGCTCCTGCTCCCTATCCCACTATGAATCAGCCTCCTTATATCAAAGAAAACATTCAGCATTTGTTTTTTTGGGATTGGTTAACTTCACTTAGCATTATCTTCTCTAACTCCATCCATTTACCTACAAATTCCATGATTTTA